ACAATAAGTAGCAGTGTTGTGGTCTGTAATAACAATAAATAGCAGTGTTGTGGTCTGTAATAACCAATAAGTAGCAGTTTTGTGGTCTGTAATTAATATAACATGTTTGATTCTATTTGGCATTGAAAAGTAATATTTGTTTCTATGGTAATGTGCAGTTCTCTTAGAGCATATTAAATCAGTTCGGCAACATAGATTTAATATTCCAAATCATTGCAGTTACCATACATTTTGGAATGTAGCAGTGTTGTGGTCTGTAATAACCAATAAGTAGCAGTGTTGTGGTCTGTAATAACCAATAAGTAGCAGTGTTGTGGTCTGTAATAGCCAATTAGTAGCAGTGTTGTGGTCTGTAATAGCCAATTAGTAGCAGTGTTGTGGTCTGTGCCATGAATCGATGTAGAATAATAGAGCATATAGTGAGAAGAAAAACAAAAAGTCTATTCACTCCAACCTATTCTTTTATGATATTTTGATTAATAAATTATTTTTGTGAATGTTAAAGGCGTTTGTTATTCTCATCTATTCAGTGTTAAAGTAGTTTCGATATTTCATTCATAAAATTTGGGAGAAAAATGAACACTTTTAACGTACTTGAACAATATTTTCTCCTCCAGACTTGCATAAGGAAATTCTTATCTAAAAAATAGATATGACAATTTGCTAAAAAAAAAGTAGTGAGCAAAAACATGCCGTTAAGAACAGATGCACGTGTTTGCTTAATTTTTTTCATAGAGAATTTTTCATCAAAATTTGAAGAGTTCGCTCTTCAGTTGTGGAAATCCTTGGGTAAAGATTATACCATTCCTGACAACTTGGCTCAATATGCAGAAGAATATTTTGAAGACTACAAGTCATTTTACAATAGTGAAGACATACTTCTCGCTCGTTATCCAATCCAGTGTATACCACAACCAGGTAAGTTAGATACTGTTGTCATGGTTACATAACAAACCTACATCTGTACTTGTTTTTTAAGACTCATAACGTAGGTAAATTAATATGTAGAATTATTCCCGTACTTTTCTCTACGTTGAAATACTTTTATTTGCGAGCTTTCGGCCCTTTTACTGGAGCCTTCATCGGGCAACAATGTACTGAACGATAATAATTCGTTAAACTGTGGAACGAAATATAGGTATCCTGGTATTAAGGTTACTAAACACATAGAATTATGATGAATATAGAATATAAATCGATAAACAGGGAAAAGACAATTATAGGTATTATATAGAGAAATAAAAAATAAAGAAAAATTTCAATTTCGAATAATACATTGTAAAATTAAAGGTTTAATTTTACATCAAAACCACTGCAAATAATATGCTTTATGTCTTTTATTAGTGGTAGTATTGAGCAGTTGTTAGCTGTTGTTTTGATTAATACCAACTGGTGGTCCACTGTCTTCTGCTTGGATGGTAATAGCTTCCTTGAATTTTCTATGTTTCATGTTTTCTTCTCTGCCTATTATTTTTACATTATTTAGGTCTATTATATGGTAATTTTCCTGAACATGAAAAGCTATAGCTGATGTGTTTATAATATCTATTTGAACCTTACTTTTAAGGAACGTTGTGTTTCCCTAATGTATTGCTTATTACACTCACACCTAGTGCTATAAACTGCGTTTTTTGTGAGAGGATTGGAAAGTGGGGATTTTACCTTCGTAAGACTGTCGGATAATTTAGGAGGACTTGAGAAAACTATGGTGATGTTAAGTTTATTCATTATCCTACGAAGTTTTTCTCCTAGGCCTGCTATGTAAGGAAGAAATACATTTTTCTTTTCGTTGTGATTTTCAGGTTGTGGTTCATTAGTAGTTGAGACAGATGAACCATATAACACACGTTGAATCGTTTTATTTGGATAATCGTTATTCCTGAAAAATCTTCTCAAAATGTTTAAGTTCTTCATCTAAGTAAAAAGAGAAGCGTAAACTTGTAGCTCTAGATTTTAGTGTTTTGATAATCCCAGTTTTGACAGCTATTGTATGGCATGAGCGAAAATTCAGATATTTATTTGTTTGAGTCTTCTTCTGATAAACGGTAGTGGTCAACTTCTCGAAACTCGTGTCCTTGTGAACCAGAACATAAGGAATGGAAGTGTGTTAACGGCTTCACATTCTATGGAAAATTGTATGCTGTCAAATTGGATGTACAGATGAACATTAAATGTTTTGAGCTCTTCTTCTCCGTGGATCTATAATATAACCGTATCGTCAACATATCTCACCCATATACGAGGTTGACGAAGATATGGTGTGTTCAAAATGCCGCATGAATATTTCTGCTGCTACAGGTGATAAAGGTGAATCCATTGGAGCACCGTCTAACATATTGTAAAATCGGCCATTACAATGGAAGTAATTTGCATCGAGACAGATGTCCAGTAAGATCATGATGTTTGGGAAGCTGATGGACCTTCTTGTTGGAAGTGAGATATCGTCACTTAGTCCTGTATGTATCATTTCCATGGTATCTTTAGCAGGTATCTTGGTGAAAAGTGAAACTACGTCGATATTAGCCGTAATATCGTCTTTGGACATTACTTGGTCAGAAATGTGGTTAACGAATTCTCGTGAGTTTCTAATTGAATAAGCCAGATTTACTGTTAGAGGTTTTAGCACGCTAGAAACAAATTTGGCTGTTTTGTAAGCTGGCAAACCTATGTAAGATACAAGAGGTCGCACGGGTACCTTAGGTTTATGTATTTTGGGCAAACCATAAAGCTGTGGGGAGACTGAATGGTGTACAGATAATCTTTTATACAATGTCATGCTTATTTCCATTTTATTTGTCATGTTCAAAAGCTCTTTATTTAGCTTTTTCAATACACGTTGGGTTGGATCCGAAGATAGTCTTTGGTAAATTAAGTCCATTAACACGTCTTCTATCTTTTGTTCATTGTGACGTCGGTTTAAGACTGTATCATTTCTCTTATCAGCAGGCAATATAACAGTGTCTCTATCTATAGTTAAATTAATATAACAGTGTCTCTATCTTACTGTAAATTACTGATAGCTTGGTGCTCTTTTCTTTAGTTAGGTTGGTTCGAGGTCTAATCGTAGATGATTTTAGGGCTTCTCGAACTTGGGACCACTATTCATTAGCAGTTGTGAGATCTAATGTATTAGCGACTGCTTGAGTGGAAGTAATAATGTTAGAATAGGGTACTTGTTTCGGAGAAGGAACAAAGTTAAGTCCAAGAGATAGTATACTTATTTAATTATCGTTAAGACGTTTGTCACTTAAGTTTACAACTGTATGCTTATTTATCTCCATTCTCCTGCACCTGTCACATTTAGATAAGAATAACAGTTTTTGAAACTTGCTAATTTGTCTGTATTTGTATCATTTATGGGAATGTTGAGTTGCAAATAAGTCAGTTCTTACCAGAAATTTAGATTTTCAATGAAAACAAAATTTGCTATGTAGACCACATTTTACTTAGTTTACTCTCAAACTACTGTAATTTTAGGATTAACCTATAAACGTGTGTTTGTCTCAGATCCGTTTCTTCCTTGTGACGACCTGTTTGGCTGGTGGACTTTACGCTGTGGAATCTGGATAGTGTTCCTTCTTGCTATGCTAGGGAACGGTGTGGTGGTGGTGGTCATAATGTTCGGTCAGAGCACAATGGACGTTCCAAGGTTTCTTGTCTGTAATCTCGCCACCGCTGACTTCTTTTTGGGGATTTATCTCGGGATCCTAGCCGTGGTGGACGCTTCCACATTAGGGGAATTTCAAGTAAGTTAGTATAATGGACGAACGTTAAGTTGCATTTAACAACAACTACATGTTGCCCATTATGAGCTAGAACGTTTCATGTTACTTCCTATAGTACGGATTTTGAAACAGTCAAAGGTGGGTGTGGGATTTAGTCATATTAGCATAACCACTGAATCTTGCTTTGTTTAACTACTGTTTGTTTGCTTAAATACTGCCATTAAGCATGATCCTCACTCAGCTCTGTATGTGTGTGTAATTTATGAGCGAATATGTTTCATGTTATTTCCTACATAATAGATTTTGTTACGTAATATGAGCTAGAATGTTTCATGTAACATCCTATAGAATGGATTTTGTTACCTAGTGTAAGCTAGAATATTTTTCATATTATTCCCTATAGTATGAGTTTTGTTACCTAATGTGAGGTAGAATGTTTTTGGTTACTTCCTATACTATACATTATTTTATTAATGTAAGCTAATACGTCTTCATATTATTCTAGTTATTATGAGTTTTATCAACTAATATGAGTGAGGATGTTTTCATATTGCTTCTTGTTGTATTAGTTTTGTTTTTACCTAATGTGAGGTATAATGTTTTCGGTTACTACCTATACTATACATTGTTCTTCATACTGTCAGCTAATATGTTTTCATATTACTTCCTACAGTATGAGTTTTGTTATCTAATGTGATTATTTTAATATATATATTTAAAGATTGTTTCGTCTTTCGTTTCTCCATGCCCAGTATTGTAAAGACTGTTGTTCACGGAAATAAGCCTTAACTTGGTTTGTAACCAAGAGATTGATAATGTGAACACCACTAAGTCTTGGAGATTTTAATATTCTGTTAGAAGTATCAGTAACATTTCCAGACTTTAAGGCCCTGCTGGGAGTGTCAATAAAATTTTCAGACATTCAAGTCATGCTGGGAGTGCCAGCAAACCTTGCAGACATTTAATTAAATTATTAACTTCTGATCAAAGCAAGTTACCTTCTTTGATAGTTACTAGAAGCAACCCAGTAATGAGTATAGTTAATTAAATATACTTTTCTTATGTTTTTACTTATAAAGAATAAAATACATTGAAAACCGATAAGCCTAAAATTTATAATAAACTGTGGATGTTTTTCTACGTTTCTTTAATTTGTCCATTTAGGATTCAAAATCAGAGATGTTTGAAATTAGCATGTGAAATCTATCTTTTGTCTCCACAAGTAACTCTCTGTTCAAGAGGCCTTTCATTGGATGTCAGAACTTGTCAGTTGACTTGGATGATGTGAGACAAAAGGTCTTTCGGTTTCTAATGCTTCGCCAGCCTTTGGCGTTTAAACCCGTAACTTTTGAAGTATTATACTACACGAGTATAAAAGTCTGTCAAAAATGACAGGAACCCATTCTTATATGATTAACGAAAATTATAGAATTTAACTAAAACGAATTTTTTTCTATCTCCAAAATGCACCTACTCTTCACTTATTTCATCAGCCTCGAAGTAATTCTTTAATAACCACATTTTTAGTAAAAACTACGCAGAAAAATGAAATGTTATCGTGAACAAAAGTACGTGTGCACTCTGAAAGAGACTTGAGCCTTTCACTGTATTCTAGGTCAGGAAGTTGAAAACATAGTGCGGACATTCCGACACAAATTTTTAACTCTTTCGACTGTTCAAAGGATATTGAACATTCAACACAAACACCATAGTTGGACATTACCAAAAAAAAAAAAGGAACGTGAATACGTTCTCAACAGAGTGACAAAGGAAATAAGCCTTTTATAGTGAGTGATACAAATAACGTATCATATATACTTTTATTTCGCATCGTACAGGTAAAATTACGGATTCCGTTATTGAAACATAAGGCCTCTTGAGCAGTCACTTTTGGGTGAAAAAAAAAAGACAGATATTAAATGCTATTTTTACACGCTTCTGATTTTGAATCCTAAATTGACAAATTAAAAGGAATGTTGAGAAAAAAGCGTTTGCAATTTACGGGATTTTTTATCAAAAATTTTAGGCTTATTGCTTTTAATGTTTCGACGTTTAAACTCTAACTCTTAATAGAATGCACCATTTCGTCAGTTGGATACCTTCGCTGTTAGCTATAGTTTTAGCTGTAAACTCAATAATAGCTCACCAGATTCGGCTACTATAGCAGATTTAATTTAGTCATGTATACTGTATACTGAACTAACAGCTAACAATGCAAAATAATTTGCATAATAAAAATATAATAATAAGAAACTAAATATAATAAAGAACAGATATATTAAACATTATAATCAATACTGTTAATGAAAGTAACATTAACCTCTTATTGTCACATGGGTCATATATGGCACATACTTATTGAACAGCGTTTACTCATAGTTATACTCGCAAACTAGAGATATCTGGCACACACCCGAAGTATGATTTTTCTTTTCCTGTATATTTTGTATTCAAAACACTAAATGAATACTTTCTGAATGACTTTAAATTTTTCTATCATTAAATTGTTTTTGGTCCAAAAGAGGTTAATGAAAAAATCAAGTACATCTGTATATCCCAATTACGGAACGCATGAAGTACTACTGGCTTGCTTCATCTAGTATCGTAGATTTAATGTTCCTTGAAGAATGTTCCACAACTTTCCAAAATTCTTCTTAACATTTATGTAATAACTTCTACTAGGAGGGTTGCTAAACATCTACGATAATAATTAACAATAATTGGTCTTAATTATAGAACAGCAGGCAAGGTTCCAAAAGTTTCTATGATTAAAGAAAGCTAATTAATCGGTCTCGACAGAGTATTGTTTGGTTGTTTATTTTTGAATTTCCGCGCAAAGCTACACGAGGACTATCTGCGATAGCTGTCCCTAATTTAGCAGTGTAAGACTAGAGGGAAGGCAGCTAGTCATCACCACCCACCGCCAACTATTGGGCTACTCTTTTAGCAACGAATAGTGGGATTGACCGTCACAGATTGCGAGTCGAGCGCCTTAACCACCTGGCCATGCCAGGCCTCGACAGAGTAACTTTAAGGTTAACCTGATATCTGAGATAAATGACTATGACATATAGGACAGTATAAATAGTACAGAAAAAATGTTAACGAACGTACAATGTAATAAATTATAATAAAGAACAAATGAAATGAATGATAGAGTCATACAGTAAATAAATATTTGTTGGGAATATCAAAGATGGAACTTGTACCTTAATTGCTGCCTATTTTCTAAACTTCAGCCTTGTAGTAGTTATTCTGTAGTGAAGGAACAGTATCAAAACACCGTTTGTTCTAGGTTCAGAACACAACGGTAGTATTTTTGTATTCAAGTAAGATGAGTGTTGTGAATGTTCTTAAAATAGTATTCTACCATTCGAATCCATTTTTGAAATACGAAATATTTTTTCCTTTAGTTTAATTGTCTCTTGAATTATAAAAGCTTAAAGGTTTAGGTTTTAACATTCAAATTTCTACATCTTGTTTTGTTTTATTTCTAGGTGTACGGCATTTCTTGGCAAAGTTCGGCAGGATGCCAGATAGCAGGGTTCCTCGGAGTCCTGAGCAGTGAGCTGTCCGTCTACACCTTGTCAGTGATCACTTTAGAAAGGAACTACGCCATTACTCACGCTATGTACGTGAACAAACGCCTGTCTTTAAAGCATGCTGCATACATTATGGCTGCTGGCTGGACATTTGCTTTGATTATGGCAGTTATGCCTCTATGTGGTGTAAGTGACTACAGAAAGTTTGCTGTTTGTTTGCCTTTTGAGACAGGGTCAACTCTGTCACTTGGTTATGTCGTGTTTCTCATCTTTATCAATGGTATCGCTTTTCTAATCTTAATGGGATGTTACCTGAAGATGTACTGTGCTATTAGAGGATCACAAGCCTGGAATTCCAACGATTCACGAATTGCGAAGAGAATGGCTCTTCTTGTTTTCACCGACTTTGTTTGCTGGGCTCCTATAGCATTCTTTTCACTGACAGCAGTCTTTGGGCTTCACCTTATTTCATTGGAAGAAGCAAAAGTCTTTACAATTTTTATCCTCCCTCTAAATAGTTGTGCCAATCCATTTTTGTACGCCATTTTTACTAAACAGTTTAAAAAAGATTGTGTGCTTATTTGCAAAAGAATAGAAGAATCGAGAGTTACTCGTGGTATTGGGAGATGCCGTCACAGTTCCAACTTTTCTAATCGCCATACACCAGCTAATACCAACTCGGCTGCTGAACGTAAAAGCGCCGAAAGTGACCAGCCAACGTGTCAATGTGGTCAACACAAAGTCATCGATGAACCCAAACTAACGGAACGTAGAAGCCGTTGGAAATCATTTGCAATGAGATACTTTCTTTGTCAAGAATCTGAGGTACAAACCGATCCCAGTACATATACTTTCGCAATTGCACAAATACAAAAAAATCTAGAACGTGGCACTAAAACAGGCGCGAGTGTCTCCAGTGACAACTTCTCATCTCGGTCTGACAGTTGGCGTCAGAATGCAATTCCGCTTCGACTCTTGGAACATGGCGCACGTCAAAATTCGTGGAATTTAATTCGCAAGAATTCTCAAGATTCGAGCATGTCTTGCAGTAGGCAAGATTCTTCAACATCCACTTTTCGCATGTCTCGTTCAAGTGTAAGCAGTGACAAATCGGATTCTCAACACACCCGATCAGGACTTCCAACTCTTAAAGATCGTACTCCAATCAGTCCAGTGGTAGTTGAACAATGCCATGGATTTCGGCCATGCCCATCTGTTAGGGAAAGACCAATTGTGAATGGGGAATCTCGTTTCATGCGAGGAATGATAAGTACAGCAAAAGATAATTCAAAATTATGTCGTGAGGTGGCAGTTGATGACACGCGTATTCCTCGAGTTATTGGAAAAGGATATGATCCCAGATCACAACAGTTTGGACGATTTTGTCCTAGTTGCTCTAAAAAAGATCCTAGTTTTCCATTAACATTTAAGAATAAAGAACTAGAAGAAAAATTCAACTGCTTTTATAACAGACTAGCAGAAACGAGCCATGAGGATAGTAGTGAAGTCCTGACCTCTAAAGAAGATCATGTCATTTTATCTAGTGACCAGTCTACAGGCGATCATAAAGTGGACTCTTCAAACACCCATGACACTTCACTTCCTGACTCTTCTGTTCAACCTGCTGAGATAACCGTTCATCCCCAAATAGAAATTCAAGAGAATATTTCACAAGATACAGAAAAGGAATGTGTAGAAGACAAAGTCAACAACTGGCTTAGGACTTCTGTTACCGACGTGATGGGAGGTAGTGAGGGGAGGTTGCAAGCCAGTACAGAAAGCTATCTGAACACTAACCACCTTTGCGTGAGCTTTGACAATATTCAGAATCCCAAGTCACGAAGTATGACTTATATTGCTTCTGACAGTAAATTAAACAAAGGTCGAAAAGTAGCATCGGATAATTCACTTAAAAAACTTTCCTTAAAGAGTCTACCAAGCCTGTTACGATCTCTCTCTAGCCAAAGCACCCAGAAGCTTCAGCGACTAAAAGCTAAAAGACAGTATCACTTAAAATCAAAACCCAAAGGGAATCTGCCATGTTCAGAAAGTGAAACAATAATAACAAAATGTAATGAAGAGTTTGATAATAATTGGAGGTTGCCAGTATCGCCAAAGTTGTATAAAAGAGCGAAAACTGAAGAATGTGAATCTGAATCGGAAATTGATGATGTTTTTATTGAAATAAAATGTCAGCCCATTGAACAGTGTACTAGCAAGAGCACTGAATTTGAAACATTTTCATCGCATGATAAGAAAGAAATGGTTGAACAGTCTAGTACACAACCAATGCTTAGCATCAATGAAGAACTTCCCTTGATTGAGCAGGATGATGAAAATATGAGACAAACTTCTGAATGAGAGAGAACATGATGCTTCAATATATAATCTTTATTCTGTTCTAAATGAGAAATGTCTAATCATTTTTATGAACAAGAATTGTGAATGAAAACCTTGCGATACAAACGAGTTGCTGTTGTTGGGCTTGAATTGAGTATTTGGAGATACAACTGAGCTCTTCCGAATTTTAACTGAAGAAAATCCTTGATGAGCTTCCATATATATTGTTACTTGTGAAGCCTTGTTAAATTTTGAATGGAAAAGTGGTTCTGTGCTTAGACCGTTTTTGAGCTTTAAACAAAAACCAGGTTATACTATTGAGTTCTAAGTACATACATATTTTTATAGCTGAATTATTGTTCAAATCTGAATGAAAACCTAGTTTTGCGTCTAAACCATTGTTGAGCTGTAAAACCCTGGCAGTTTAGTTACATCATTGTAGAATTCTAAATAAAAATCTGCTTTAACAGCTGGATCACTGTTAAGTGCTGAATAGAAACCTAGTTCTATGGTTAGACTGTTGTTGAGCTGTAAAATCAAGACCTGTTTTCTCAGCTAAGCCCTGTTTAAATTCTGAACGAAAACCTGATTACAAAGCTGAATCATTGTGAATTCTAAGTGAAAATATGAAAAGTCGAATCTTTGTTGAATTCTAAAAGAAAACTTGGTTCTACGACTTAGCTATTAGCGGGCTATAGATGAGGCCCTACTTTTACAGAAGAAACAGTGTCGAATTTTGAATGATAACCTAGTTCTATGTCTAGAGCATTGTAGAATTCAAATTAAGAACTGCGATTACAGTTGAATCCTTGTTGAAATCTGAATAAAGAAATGGTTCTACGGCTAGACGACTGTTCAGATCTAAAAGAAGACCTGCTTTTACAGCTTCAGATTTGCTGAATTCTGAATGAGAATTTGGTTCTATAGTTCTTAATTAAAACCTGCTTCAACAGCACAGCTTTCAATGAATTCCGACCGAGAACCTGATTTTAGCGAGATAAATGTTAAGCTCTAAATGAAGATGTGATGAGGTAACGGAGTCCTCACTGCCGACTGTGATATGTAAAAACGTGTTTCAGTGTACAATATAGATCGTGGTGTTACAATAACGGTGGATGTTTGATATATAGTTTAAAATAATAGCTATTGTATTGACTAAATATTTGCATGAAAAATCGTCTCTGAATTTTTAGTAATGATTTTTTTTTCTCTTTCACCGCATTAAGCACAAAATTGTAGCAGTTAGCCAGTTTTTTTTTGCTATTCTGTAATTAAAATTGGCTCATATATCATATTTCTCAAGCTCTTATTATAACATGTCTTACGGGAAAATATACAACATATTATTTTAATTTCTAGTTTTTGACCTTGCGACAGCATTTCTATGTCTATTTTAAATACTCAGGATGTTGTGTTAAAATTAATGTAGTTTTAATGTGATGTTAAAAACTTTGTATCTTAATCTCTCTTTAGATATTTATTTCTAATATTTCTTGTGTTGTTTTTGTGCATTATTGTTTTAAATGGATTATGATCAGAAAAATCCACAAAATAAACTCTGTTCTGGCATATAACTCTGGTGGTTAATATACTATTCATAACAAGAGCAATCAAAGATATTACATACCCTTGCCCCACCATTCCTTTTCGAGATTGCATGAGTTTATATTGGATAACGTCAAATTTCACCCTAGAAAACTCAGAAAATCCTTCTCAGATCCAGAATGATCAACAATCCGAATCATTTTTTGTAGTGTGATGAGAAGTCTCAACCTTAATGTGCTCATGAAATTTGGTATAAATTTGATCACACTTTACAGAGTTATTAATCCAAAACTCGAAAACGACCTATTTCTCCATTATAAAAAACGCTTCAAAGTGATCCAGAATCCATATCCTAATTTGGATTGGGACCAAAATTAGGGAGAACTGTCCCATACTGACTTCTCATCTTGTGTAAAACTTTCGTATACATCGGCCTATCAGTTTTTGAGATACTCTCGCGGAAACACAGACAGACACACACACGGACCCGATTGCAATACCTGCGTAACTTTATCCAATAAAATTGTATTTATGATATACTAGCTGACATACTCATTATGCATGGGAAAGACATATGTACCTCGGGGGTGACTTAAGGGGACATATCCGAAGGTTATAAGTGGATACACACACAGAAACTTTAGTCCAATAATGGTTTAGAATGAAGGGGATTTATACAAAATTTATAATATTTAATTTAAAAAGTTCTGGACAGAGGGCAGTCTCAAAGGGGACTCTATATACAAGCGTTTAAATCACCGTAATTATGTAGTTTGCGAACAACTGTAACGACATTTGCTTGTAGTAGCGTGCCGTCTGCAAAGCACCCAATAGTTGATCCAATAATGAAAAATATCTTCACTATGACAAGTTTGTTTAATAATATATATAAGTGTAAAAATATGAAAAAGAAAACATCCTTTGCTTTATCACAATAGTGACAAAGCACATTTGAAAAATAAAATAAAATATCCGATACTAAATCATTTATAACACGCCCCTGCCCTCTGGTAGCTAAAAATCGGGATTCGATATCACTGATAGACAGAGCACAGATAGTCCATTGTGTAGCTTTGCGCTTAGCAACAAATAAACAAACAGACATCATTCACTACAATCTCGCGCAATCATTTAGATTGTGATAAAAGCGCCGTTTATTTTTAATTACCTTTTTTCAAGTTAATATTTAGTGATGAATAAACGTTTAATAACGCAGGTCTTACAAAGAGTTGGGGTATCGATATAACGCAAGAACTATTCTAATAATATTGACGAACACATCTTGAACTGTTTCTCACAGTGTCACTTCGTTTTGTTCGTAGCTTAATCGATTCTATTAGATCGAAGTTCGTATAAACAAACAGTGTGAAAATATGAAAAGATATATTTACAAAATATATATTTAACCACACAAACCTACTAGTGAAGATTTATTTAACTACTTGCACTGTCTGAGCATACATCTTTTCATTTTTACTCGAACTTACTGCTGTATTTATTTCAAGAGTTTCAAAATTTTAAGTTAAATATTTTGTGAAACAATTTGTATGCTCAAATGACAAGCTGTATGATTTTTTCAATTACATCGCACATCATTAAATTGTTTTTTTTTTCTTGACTTCGTATCGAAACATTCCTTTCTTTCTGGATGCTAATTGTATTTTTTAAACCAGTCAAATAGAATAAAATAATGTGTTAAAACTAAGAATATACACGCTAAATGTTATACATCCTGCATTTTATATATGTAATAACTTTGACGTGTAACAAATGAACGGTACGAAAATTGGCAACATTTAGTAACACAGTAGCAAACATTGTGCTGAATATTTGTTGCAAAACTTTCAGAATGTAACGTCATTCGAAGAGTTTGTTTATTCCTGAGGTCCATGAATGTGAGTTATCCCGTTATATGTCACCTTATTTGAGTCCCTCAGACGTTTTACTCCTTGGAGATTCGAAAGTAATTCACACACTATCCAGGAGTTTAAGGATGCAGTGACTCGGGTATAGAATTGTCCAGGCCACGATCCACAGTGTTATGGGCAATGATACATCACAATATTATAGCAAGGAGGACACATAACTCACAGTCCCAATATTATTAAGATGTCGTGTCGTTCACGTGTAAAAATTTTGAAGATATAATGTAGGATGTATATAAAAAATACCTTACAACAAACACTTTAATGAAAACTATGCATGGTTGACGAGATTTGTAAATATTAGATTTGTATTTCGTTATATTCATTGACAATGTAGATATGGACACTTTATGTTCAAGAAACTGAATAAGAAACAAATTAAAAAGCTAGGCAGTTAAACAGCTCACAGAATGCAAAGTGGAGGCAATCTGCTGGTTGCGGGTTCGAATCCCCGCCCCACCAAACATGCTCGCCCTTTCAGCCGTGCGGGCGTTATAATGTGACGGTCAATCCCATTATTCGTCGGTAAAAGAGTAGCCAAAGACTTGGCGGTGGGTGGTGATGACTAGCTACCTTCCCTCTAGTCGTACACTGCTAAATTAGGGACGGCTAGCGCAGATAGCCCTCGTGTAGCTTTGCGCGAAACTCAAAAGAAACAAATGCAAAGTGGAAGAAATGGGGAGAGGCGCTATGAAATAATGAATATAATATTGAGTAAATTGAGCTAATACAATGCGTTAACCACTGACAGGAAGTGAGAAAAATAAACATACAAAGTTTTAAATAAAGTGTTGCATTTATTTTGAGCCTTAATATATCACTAGTAGAAAATTGGTATTCAAGTTGGCATTTTCTATAAGAAACATGCAACCACTTATAAAAGTACTAACATAAAAATATGCAAAATTAAATGAAACTATTTTCTGTAAAGAAAGATCCCAACTTTAGATACTTAGACATTTAATAGAGCATTAACCTGGGTAAATAAAAATGTAATTATAAAGAAATGTTTACATTTTTAATGGTATTTGAATAAGTTATTAAGACTAATTTGTTTACTCGTTATTTATCATGCGGATACAAACATTCATTATGGCACACATGAAAGGCTTTGTGAGTCTTTAATGTCAAATTATTTCAAAGTTTTCCCTCTTCTTGCATTCATTAGATTGTTCTGTTTGGACACGGAAATTATTAAGTTTTCTTGGTTCTAGTATTTCAAGTTGTTTTTGAATAAAGCATTATAAATGAAATATTTCTCACTTTAGTCAAACGTTCTCATGTAGACAACGGTTTATATATATATAAGAACTTTTGTAGTAAGCTGTTATGAAAAAAAACAACAACTTGTAAAGTGTGTATCTTACATTTCTATTAGAAACAGTCTTGATATTTTAGTAAGTGCAGTAAACGCTCCAATTTCTACTTAAAAAAATCTATTATATATTCTTTATTTTAACACCATCAAGTTTGCTCACGTTAAAAAAAGACAAGCATGTTGATATAAATATTTTACTTTGTTCTTTTTTTCTGTTTCAAGATAAAACCTGAGACTTCTTCAGTTTAGCACCATCGTTGTGCTCAATCTTGGCAGATCCGTAAGAGCTCATTTTGAATCATGAGTAAGTCTTATAAAACTGAAAAAAAAACAAAGAATGAAATCAAAATACATTTCTAGTTGTGCCCTTGAGAAATAGATACAATAAAAACTCTTGGTATACTAAAAACTACTGATCAAAAGTAAAACAGTTGAGTCTCAAGATTGAAAATAATTTAAACAGGATATTATTATAAAAACAGAAACTGGTTCAAAATCAGATATACAGTGCCTTGCAAAAGTATTCACCCCTGCAAAGTTTTCACATTTTGTTGCTGTCTGAGCTTGTAATCATGAAACTTTAGATTTAGAATCTATACAATCTACTCTAAACTGAGAAAGCTAAAAAAGTTGATATTATATAAATAAGTTGGATTTTCAAAGAAAATTATAATATTATTTATTGCATAGTATTCAACCCCTTTGCAACGATAACCCTAAATCAGTTCATGTGCAAAAAAATTAGTTTGAAATGTCACAAAATTAGTGTAATGGTTTCTGTCTGTGTGTAATCAAAGTGGTTTAACTTGACTTTAGAGTGAACGCATCTGTTCAAGCCACAACTCACATAGTGATATGACAAACAACCATGAAGACCAAGGAGCTTCCCAAGTAAGTCAGGGATAAAGTAGTAGAGAAGCACAGATCAGGAGAAGGTTACAAGAAAATTTCAAAGTCGCTGATTATCCCTCTGAATACAATTAAGTCCATCATTAAGAAGTGAAATGTGCTTCATACCACTCAGTCAAGTCGCTCTTCCAAACTAAGCAGCCTGGCAAGCAGGAAACTAATGAGGGATGCCACTGTGAAGCCAACAATGATTTTGAAAGACTTGCAAAGGTCCATGCCTGAGATGGGAGTCAATGTTCATATATCGACAATATCCCGGTCCCTAAACATAGCTGGCCTGTATGGACGAATGGCAAGAAAGAAGCCATTACTGAAAAATAATCATCTTAAATCTCGTAATTAGTTTGCGACAAAGCATGTAAATGATACTGGAGACATATGGCAGAAGGTTTTGTGGTCAGACACAAGTTGAGCATTTTGGTCTAAATTCAATGCATTACGTTTGGCGCAAGCCCAACATAGCACATCATCCAATTATCACCA